GGGGGGGAGCGGCTGCCCCCGCGCCCCCGCTTCCGCTGCTGCCAGCGGCCGCCTTGGGCAGCCTCAGGTCGTATCAGGCTGAGAGCCCTTGGTTTCCTAATGACTTAATTCATTAGGAGAGTTCAAAACAAAGAAAGCTAAATCAATCAGGATGCCCTGCCACCCAACCTAATGAAATGCAAACCTGGTTCATTAGGAATTATTGTTCTGTTTGGCTGATTTTACCACCTTGTGTCATTAGCTCTGGTTGTCTATGAAAATACAGTACATTACTTTCACAAGGTACAAATAAATCTCCTCTTTTCCCGCTTGAGGCTCAGGAAACTTTCAAGTGTTGTTCAAATATACTTTAAAAATATACTATAACATATAAATATTTCTTTCTGATTTCCTGTGGCGACGTTGAGCGACTGAGAAACATCACAAGATCTGACGTACATTTGAACATGTCCTTCAGGCAGTGAAATTCTCCTGCGGAGTACTGAGCCTGCAGTGGAATCCAAATGTATTTTCTCATATATGCCATTAATCAAAAAGAAAATGTTTCAAGTAGTACTCACAGACTTTTTACTGCATCAGTGTGCGGTGAGTTTATTAGGTTGCATTGCAAACAAGAGGCAGAAAAATGGCATAATATAAAAATAGAGTATAGCTTTGTGGATAAGAGAGGAGCCTAGAGTAATTCAATGATTTAAACAAGAGAAAGCATGTGAACAGAAAAAGCTTTCCCATATATATGTGTTCTGAAGAACTTCTAATATATTTTACCCTACTTGCTTCTTACTTTTTGCAGATTTTCCTAGACATAGTTGCCCATCAGAGACAAATAAATCTATTCTCTTCTTTTTCCCTTTACCACATCCCAGATTCCTCACTGCAATTTTCAAGGACAGTTTGTCTTGCTCTTCTTCTCAGATACTGCTTCTAGTTAATCTCTTCATTAACCTCATGCCAACTTTTCACTCTCATTTGGAAACAGTTGCATCTGAGGAACCTAATCAGATACTCAGACGATTGTGGCAAATTGTTGCTTCCTTGTGATGCTTCAGATCAGCTGGAACAATCAAGACGCAAAAGTGCTCTGGAGTTTTTGTCCGCATATCTGAAATGATTCCCAGCCCTGCACTGCCTGGTGCTCCTCTGCCGCACTCTTTGTCCATCCTTGCTACCAGTCACCAACAGGAAAGAAAATAGCCTAGCTTGAAGATGGAGCTTAATCAGTTTAAAAGTGGAATTGGAAGTGGAATTGGCCCTGCCTGAGACTGAAGAGATTGGATTTGGTGACTTGGGAACAATTTTTCTGACTTATATCACAGAGGTTATTTTCTGATGTAAACAACTGGTGTGTGGCATGTTGTGTATCTGTCCATAATGTATGAAGGGCAGACCAAAGAAAGGAAAATGTTCCTATTCTTTTCCAGTCTTTCTATATGCAGTTTCTAGTTTTTGTACCGAGCTCAGGCCAAATGATCTCACATGAATACTGAATTTGGCTCTTTGTAGCCTCCCTATATGAGATTCTGAAGAAATTCCAGAAATATTTTGAAGTTGCACTAAGGTTATGCAGCAGAGAAAAAAAAATCTGATAGCTGGACATGCCCTCTTGCATTGTGGTGTTTGCACCAACCTTATAACAGGCAGATTATTTTACACATTAGACCTATGTATTTTGCAGGGCTCCGCAGAGCATTTAGGTTTGTGGTACACTGAAAAGGAAAGAGAATTAAGAGCCATCTTTTCTAATCCAATTATTGCATTATGTATTCCAGCGTATCGATTAAGAAGAAGTTTCTTAGGCTTTGATATCATCAGAAAAGTTACGACGTTGTAACAGAGAATAAAAACTGCAAACTCTGATTGTGTCCACTTTAGGAATCTGTGGCATTTCAAGTTCAAAACTGCTATCAGGTAGCCAAGGGCTACCTTTTTATATCTGGTTAGGTCATAGTGTTTACAATGCAAAGGAAGCAGTCTGAGCATTTCCAGAGTTCCAAGCACTGTCTGATCCTAGGAGAGCAAGCAAAAGCAAGCACGGATTCCTGGGTATGGGAAAAGGCATCCTCATTGTAGGCGCAAGAGACCACCAAGTGGATGCTTTAGATATTGCAGACGAAAGGGTTTGTGAGCTAGAAATGCACCTTGCTGAGAGCATCTCGCTGCTTTTCTCCATTCACATAAGCACAGCTGAATTTACAGCGTGCTTTTTTTTTCTTTTTTTTTTTTCTTTTAATTAAGGACTGTGTACTTTAGTTCTCTATGTTTTAAAAATATATGACATGTAGATATCACAACTGCCATGTCATATCATAGCTCATTCACAGGTAGGTTTGTCCATTTCTTGATTTCTCTTCTATGAATTCAAATCTGAAAATAAAAAAGAAAAAAAAATGAGCAGGATCATGGCTGACTTTGAGCAACAGTCCTGTAGAAGTTACTCACTTGCTGTTATTTCCTTGAAGCTGTTCTTTGCAGTTTCGCTGTGAATGAAAAATGGCTGGGCATGGGGCAAGCTGCAAAATGATCTGTTAGTGGGATTCAATTTTCTGTCAGTCTTTGTAGGCAATTAGCTTTTCTCCGGGTAATGCAATGCTACTCTGCATGCACCCACTGTTGTGTGGCACTTGTGCAGGGAACAGTAGCCAACTTGGTCGCTGTACTGCCTTTGACAAGCAGACCGTAATCATGTTCCGTCTAAATATCCCTTGATGCCAGTGGCTGCCGTGCGCTTCTTCCGAGGAAGGCGCCCGCACGTCCTGCATGGGTGTCGGTGCAGCAGCGCTCTGACAAACCTGCTGCCACAGGGGAGCTTCCTCCAGAAACCCATGCGGTTCTGGAGAGGTAAAGGGGTAATGCTACACAGACATCACCAACACCCTAGACAAGGAACGCAGCAGCGCTCTGACAAACCTGCTGCCGCAGGGGAGCTTCCTCCAGAAACCCGCGCGGTTCTGGAGAGGTAAAGGGGTAACGCTACACAGACATCACCAACACCATAGACAAGGAATGCCATGCCTTTGCCCCCCACTGCAAACAGCATTCCTGACCCCTGCGAAGCCTCGGGAGGCGATTCTCATAGTTTCTTCCACAGACGTAGACCCTGCACCTCTATTTGCAAAGTACAGTGTTTCCTCACAGAGAAGAAAGGGACACAGAGAATTTGCTTCTCGCCACAGAGGCAAGCTGGCAGGTATAGGCTACTCTGCAGGTGGGCCTTGTAGAAGTTTTAATACTCCTCTCCACCTCTTCCTACGCTATTTTTAAATTGGGTATTGAGTCGACTCGCTTACTCCCCACAGTGGAATGTGATTTCTGGATGTGATCCTCGGAGGGGACAGATCCGCTGAAGGATGGGGATGGGAACCACCGTGCCGGGTACTGCAGAACACTCCTGCGGAGCTCAGCACTGGAGGAAAATCCATCTGGGGAAGCACTTAAACTCCATTTCCTTTATGAGAGCATGTAACGCCAGCCAAGCCTCTTTAAGATTTCTCTTTCATTTTGGCAAATCAGCAACTTATAAAAGACCGAAATAAAGTCTCCCAACACTCCTGAATATATTCAAGGAGAAATTGAAAATGACACCTGTTCATGCACACAGCCTGTTCAACAGTTTCAGCCTGTCCTCATGGATAAACTGGGCACAGTGCTGGATGAAAACCTGCGACAAAATGAAGGGTAGATGAGATTAAGTTGCGAAAAGGCTAAAGGTTTTGGCATTTGGGCTATATGGTCATTCCAAAGAGAAATTCTGGACTGAAGCACTCTCCAAGGGCTGTGGTTCTCATCTGCAGTCAGACCACAGCTAGCTGGGCTGTTGACCCTTCACTTTCTTGACTATTATACTTACTTGTTACATGACATGCATCCCATCGCTCTCCTTTGAGCCACTGCCTTGCTTTATTACTGCAGAGTAGCAAGAGAAACAGGCAGCAGCATGAAGTGCTTTCGTGACTGTTAGGCAGAGAATTAACTCCTGAACACATTTTTTACTCCTTTTAGAGTGCTGGCACAGCTGGCCTAGCCTTTCAGTAAAACAAGGAATCATTTGGCCTGTCTGCTCAATGACTTTCCAAGATCCGCTGGCTCTGTAAGTTGTGAACCAGTCCTGCAAGCTCCTGGGGAAGAACTAGTTGCTAAAACCTCTCCCACGCTTCTTTAAC